TCCAGTACATAGAACGCAGAGATTGCAAAAGACCATCAGCACTCACGGGCCTCTGATCCATCTTGGCTACAATTGTGGCCTTCTTCTACGTGTGCAACATCATCGTATGAAGTTTGTGCTTAGGTAGGTGTTTGGTAAAATCCCTCGGTCAGCTGAACGTGGGACGACATACGGGTGTTATATGTTACACGGACTGACGCCGCATGACGTACCACCAATTTCCATGGTTTTCTGCCAGTTACCACATTGACTGAATGCAGCCCCGCTCTGCCCAGAATTTGTTCCTGCCTCGTTCATGACTTCCTGCTCGAATAACGGAAAATGCCGCGAGACCGACCATCCTGGAACAGGCTCGTTGGGAAAACTATCAATAAGCTTTCAGACAAGGATGGCCTTCCCACAAGAGGAAGTATCGAAGCTTCCGCCTCTGTTTTGCAAATATCAAATGCAGGGGAGTCTACTCAGTCTACATCAAATTCGCTCGGAACTTCAAGAGCAGTTATCCACGCCAGGAAGAGCCTCCAACAGGCTTTACTACATATTGAAGATGATGGAGACATAAACGGCAGTAAATAAATAAATTCACACAATGAAACTACGTACGATTTACTCACTGACACCAAGCCGTAGCTCCTAACGCGGACATGCTGGATTACATTGCCAGAATCGAGCAATACTCCAACCACAAACTCCCTAAAGATCTTAGTCGTTGCCCGTTGTAGGTCAAGACTACTTCGAGGAAATACAAGTATCTGACGTGATGAGTAGATCCGATACGGACTGGCAGAAAGTGCGCCTTGCTGCTTGTGCTGCGAAGAGAGTCCACAAGATGATTGAAACTTCTGAAGATGCCTTTCTTTTCCCCGGCTCGGCCTTTGGTCTCAGCAAAGCATTTTGTATCGTTGAGGAAGTCCATGACGGAGGTCGTTGTCTTGTCATTGCCATTCGCGGCAGTCGGACGACAATCCGTGACTGGACGACGAACCTCAACTCGGAACCGGCTGCACTTACGGAGATCGATGGCGGGATCCGATGCCATCAAGGATTTCTTGCTCTTTCCCGAAATATGCACGGCTATATCGACAAAGCTATCAAGAAACACACATTCGAACAAAACCCCATTGAAGAACATGTACCACTTCTGGGTCAGCCAACGAACATCATCTTCACAGGCCACTCTTCGGGTGCGGCTTTGGCACAGCTGATGTTCAGTACCATGTTTCGATCATGGGCTATCGGCTTAGGTGAGTAATTACATCTTTGAACCCCCTTTTCCATATCCAAGGCTTATAATGCCGGCATGTACAGATAAGACAATTGGCCAAGTGGACTGCATAACGTTTGGCGGTCCTCCCATAACATCACAGCCGCTCCCAATTCCCTCTGACGCTTCCTGCCTATTCTTGAATCTTGTGAATGAGGGCGATCCCGTTTCGTTGGCGCAACCGGCTTACATGGAAAGTCTTCTGGAAGCTTATACGACGAGTTCGACACCCACACAATCTGAATGGACGCTTCCAAGAGGCCTGCCTTATCGTTCTAGCGGCTGTCAAATACTCTTGAGGGATGTGGCTGAAGATGACACTGATGAGGAAGAGCCGTCCGCATTCTTGGTCGAGGATATGGACAGTAGATCAGTCATCTTTGGGAATCCTTTACGGCATAGCATGACACTGTATCTCAAGCGAGTTGAGACCATCTGCAGCCGGCTTGCTGAAGACAGCCACTTACAGTCCTAGGTGCTTAGGAGGACGGGACGTTAAGTATGACTTGTGATATACCCCGTACATAGACGCCGGCTATCCGCTCAGTGAGCCCCGACAAAATTGAATCAGGTTGAACTGTCAAGTTCGGAAAAACTTCCGATCTGCTGAATTGTCGATATCTGATCATATGTTTTGTGGCATTAAACCATATCCGTTCAGAGAATCCCCCATTGATCACACTGACAACGTACAATATAATCGTATTGGGGCGGATATATTAATTGCTTGCCATACGCGCCATCCTGGCCATACCCACCACAAAACTCCATGAAATCGCTGTTCAAAAAAAGGCCTCCCAATATCCCCGCTGAGCCATCATACATACATAAAACCAGGTTCTCTTCTCCCCATGAAGCGGACAACAACAGACTACACACACACGCAGTAGCGAGTACGCCAGAGGCTCAGGGCTCATCACCAATGATCCGCTCCTCTTCGTCGAGCAGGGGGTCCGTTTCTTCGAGCCCCCTCAGCATACCATGGATGTCAGAGGGGTCCGTAATCGCCCAGACGCCGCCGCCCTTGACGGCGTCGGTGCCCCTCATGCCGACCTCCTTGCCGACGAGGTTCCGGCCGACTTTCCCGGGCCCGATGCCGATCCAGCGCCGTACCTTCTCGTGCTGGTCGACGTAGCGGATGCTGTCCCACCAGCGCACCGTCTCGAGGCACGAGCGGGCCAGCAGGTCCTTGAGCTCGGCCTTTGAGCCGAACGGCCGCGCCGACACGTTGCTGATGCACTGCACCTTGCCCGGGAAGGTGACGATGTCGTCGGCCCCGCGGCCCGGGGCGCGGCTCTTACCCGCGAGCAGGGAGCGCATGGTCGCGACGGCGGGCTTCATGAGCGGGCTGTGGAAGGGGGAGTCGCTGTTGAGGCGCACGGCGCGCGGGTCGTGGCCCAGGTACTGGCGCACGTGGGCGACGAGGGTCTTGATCTTGGCCATGTTGCCGCTCAGCACGATCTGGTTCTTGGAGTTGATGTTTGCGATCAGGACCTGCTCGATGGGCGGGACGTCGCTGTCGGCGCCGCTGTCGGCCTTGTCGCTGCTGGGGTAGGCGACAAAGTTCTCGACGGCGTCGATGAGCTGGGGCAGGTACTCGGGCTCGGTGACGATGGCGACCATGCCGTACTCGCCGCCGTACTCGCTGCGGGCGGCGGCGGTGGCGGCGGCCATGACCTCGGCGCGCTTCTGCACCAGGTGCAGGCTGTCCTCGAAGGTGAGGTAGCCGCCGGCGACGAGGGCGGCGAACTCGCCCAGGCTGTGGCCCAGGGTGAAGTCGATGCGGGCGGCGACGTCGAAGCAGAACTCGACCTCGAGGATGCGCAGGATGAGGACCGAGGTGGCCATGATGGCGGGCTGGGCGTGGGGCGTGGCCGAGAGCTGCGAGTTGGGCCCCTCGCGGATGATGCGCGTCAGCGAGTAGCCCAGGACAGAGTCGATCTCGTCGATGATGGGGGCGGCGGTTCGTGGGAAGGCCTCGAGCCAGGGGTCGATCATGCCGACTTTCTGGACGCCTTGGCCTGGAGGACACCATGAAGGGTTAGTCTCGAGGCGAGTCAACAGCTTAGGGGAAGTCAGGATGGGATGGGCGAGGCATCGAAGGAAAGGGCAGCACAAGGAGTGTTGGCCAAGGAGGGCGCCCCGCACCTGGGAAGAACAAGGCCGTCTTGGGCCTCCTCGCATGCTCTGAAGCATGGCGTCGCTGTTGATGTCCGTTCCGTAACCGTACTCGACTGGCGATGGGCGTGATGACTGTCTGTTGAAGCGTCGCGTGCCGGGGCACGAGGAGGTGTGAGCTCGAGGCACCGCGCCGGCCAAGGCCCGTCACCACTGCGCTCGTCATCGTTTCCTCTCCTCTCCTCGCTCTTGCTCTTGCTCTTGTTCCTTCTATCCGTTCCAATGATTAGCTTCCAGAAGATGCGCCTCGCCAGCTAGGGGCAGCCAGAGCTGGAGGGGCGGGATCCAGGCGCCGTCGTCACGGCATCAGAATATAAAGCAACAGCTTCCCTTGGTGCGAGTCAATTGCGTGGGACGCAAGAGAAAAGAGTCACAGCGGAGGGGCCGAAGCAGGGACGAGGTGAGGTGAGGCTCGGCTGATCAGCGTCATGGTTAGTGGGGATCGCGTTCGGGGGGCCGCGCGGGACAGTGGAAGTGCAGGGGACAGCAGCCTTGAAATGTGGAGGATCAGCCGCTGCCACTCACAGCCGAGGTCCACCACAGCTCCGGGACGGCAGCGAGCGTTTTGTTTGCATTTGCCGCCAGGGTTCTTCTGCAGGCCTACCCTAACCTATCTGGACTAACGCGGTGGTTTACAGACACCAAGTTGACTCTTTTCGTGTGCTTCACGATAGACCAACAGACAGACATAGAGGCAGGAATTCAAACTACGACCATGGTTCGGATAACTTTCAAATAAAAAGGTCACTAGAGCAACACGTATATCACATGTTTCCGTCTTCTTCTCACCCCGTCTCACCACCCACTTGAACAGCCCATTAGGTAAGTAAATAAGGTAGACTACTCATACACCACCCAGTTACCACCCCATGGACTGCCATCATCCAAGCCTGTCTAATCAACACATTAGATAGACCATATCCACCCATTTCCTCGCCTGTCAACCTCCCGTCCCATCACATTCATCCCTCCTAAAAACATCCCATGGAGCCCTTTCCGTCCGCCCGCCCACTGTCCACCCATTCTATACCTGTCTCCTTCTGTATGACCCTGCCTACATATATACCCCTCGTAAATGCCTTTTGCAACAGAAAAACAGCAGAGGAAAAGCAAAGCAAAGCAAAAAGGAGACAAATGGAAAGTGCAAGCCCAAAGTCCTCCTTCAGCCTCTCACACAATCACGCCATAGGAAGTGACACTGAGACAGCAGGATGCCAGGGGAGAGACCGATGATCGGGACGTAAACAAAACGGCTTTTTTTTCATAAAGGGCATTAAGTGGGTATCTTGGGCAAGCAAGAACAGCCGGGCAACAGTTCGAGTAAAAAGCAGATCCAGAAACACAAGACCAAAAAAAATCAAAAAAAAAAAAAAATCAAAACAACATAGAAACAACACATGAGTGACGCAAGAGAACTGGGAACAGCCCTCCCCGTTTCCCTCCATCATCCCGTACAATCAATCAATCAATCAAATCAATCATCCATTATCGTCTCCACCAGGTGCGACGCCAGCCCGCGCTTGCTCTCTATGCTCTCTCTCGCGCTCTCTCTCTTTTCTCATGCGTACATTGAGGCGATGCCCCTCCTGACCTTGGCAGGGCTTCCGGCGACGATGACGTGCGAGGGTTGTGACTGTAGACACGATCAGTCAGTTATCATCATTATCATCTTCATAGCATGACCAAGGAATGTGAGAGAGGCAGAGTGGAAGAGAAGGCATAAAAACATACCTTGGTCACAAGACTCCCCGCGCCCACCGTCGTGCCCCTGCCGATCCTCACCCCGCCGAGGATGGTCACCGACCCGCCAATGAAGACGTCGTCCTCGATGACAATGCTCTTGCCCGTGCACGCCCCGCGCGCCCCGTTGCGCCGCCGCGGGTCCGTCGTCATGGTCGTCGTGTAGAAGCTGACGTTGGGCCCGATGACCACGTTGTTGCCGATGGTCAGCTCGCACGCGTCCAGCACCGTGCAGTTGCGCCCCACCATCGTGTTCTTGCCGATCGACACGTTGTACCCGTAGTCGCACGTGAAGGGCGCCTCCACCACCACGTTCTCGCCCACCCGCCCCGTGTGCGTCACGGGACTCGACTGCGTCGGCGACAGCTGGATCGGGTCCCGCGGCATCAGGATCTCCCGGAACAGCCGCGCCCGCTCGGCGGGCGACACCCCGTTGTTCGGGTTCGTGCTGTTGTTGAACCGCCAGCACGCCGCGTTGCACCGCTCCCGCTCCAGCACGAGCTCCTTCTCGAACGGGTAGAACGGCCGCCCCGCGATCATCTCATCCTTCTCCCGTCGCCCGGCGTTGTTGCTGATGCTGCCACTGCCACTGCTGCCCGGTCCGCCGCTACCCGGCACGCCGCCTGCTGCGCCGCCTGCCGCCTGTACTATCGGCGAGGGGAACTGCGACGTGTGCGACAGGGCGAGCTGCGCTGTCGTCTGTGGGTTCGCACCGGACTGCGATGTCGCGATCGGGCTGTTGGTGCGTGTCGCGTGCATGATGTTGATATGCGGCAGCGTCGTGCTCTGTGGCGTCAGGTCGGGCTCGGTCCGGGTGAGGTCGTGTAGCGGCGGCACGCGCTGGTACTCCTTGGGCCCTCGCTCCGGGAATGGCACTGGCGCGGCGCTGACGGGCGTCGGGAAAACGTTAGCCGGCGTGTTGGGGTACGCCGAGGACAGTGCTGACAGCTTCTCGTTGGGGTCCATCACGGAGGCGGTCGGCAGGGTCGAGGCGGTGAGCCTGTCGTCGTCGGTAAGTACGGGGCGCCCCTGAGGTGGTTCGATCCGCAGCGGCTGGCCTCGGTAGGACGGTAGGGGTTCACGTTTCCCCTGCTGGTGCGGGAATACGGCCGGTTGCGGCATCCCGTACGCGCCTGGCGGTACGTAGTTGGGGTCCTTGGACTCGATCTGGATGGTCTGCACCTTGCTCTCGGGCTTGGGCCACGTCCCCCGTTGCGGAGGATACCCAGCGCAGACAAAGCCGCCCCTCAGACAGTTGCTGCCTATACAAGACTCAGTGTTTGCTCTCTAACGACTCGACATACAGAAATCACACTCACACTCTGGCTTGGCCTCGTCGCACTTCTTCTTTCTCTTTCGACACGTCAGGCAGCCCGTCTTTGTCCGGTTGCTGAAGTTTCTTTTCCTTTTCTTCGGGTCCGACTGGATCACGCCGTCTCTCCTCTGTTCTGGGGTGTACTGTCCAGAGTAAGACATCGACATGTCATCGCCGTCCGGGCTGGTCTGTGGGTAGTCCTCCGTGGCTCTCCGCAAGGCGTCTCCGATTTGCTCTTCGGTGTTTGCCGAATCTGGCGCCGCCGAGGGTGGCTGACTGTAGGGATCCCGGTCATCCCTTCTCTCATGGGCAGAGTACCACGAGTCTCGGTCCCGCTCACGGTCCGTCTCGCGTCCACGCTCCCGCCCTTCGTCGCCGTACGATCGGTAATGCCGTCCTCGCGCGTCACGCTCGTATGGATCCCGCTCCCTTGGTTCCGAGTCCTGTGATCGTTCCAGACGGGTGTCCTCTTGTTGCCTCTCGGCCTGCGTAGGTGCTTCTCTCCGAGGTGATTCGGCAGAGCTTGACCTCTTGCGCTTGTGTGAGCTCTCCATGTCCGCATACTTCGCTGGAGAGTACTGCTGTCGGTCATGGCCTGGGCCGCCTTGGGCCCAGCCGTCCCGCTCCCTGTGGCTGGTGGTGGCGTCACTTGAGGACTGCTGTTTGGGCGCCTGATCTGAGCTCTGTGCAGGTCCGCTGGTCCGCTCCGAGGAGCCTGCACGCTTTGCAGCGCAATCCCCATTGGCATTGGCAGCCTTTGGTGACCCAGCCCCATTCATGGCTGTGAAGGTTGCCATTTTCATTCAATATGACGACAAGCTGTGCGCACGCGACTCGATGCTCATGCCCTCGGCACAATTTGTGGTGGCCCCGCAGGGTGGCAGTGCCGAAAATCTCGTGAAACCGGCGCGCTGCAAGAGTGAATATGCTGGACCATGCAAAACTTTCGTTGTTGTGTCCCGAGACTGATCGAGATGTCACCTGCGACAGCTAGGAAAGATGGTGCCGAGGATGCTTCGGCCGCGGTGTGAGCGGGGCCCACGAAGCGGTCGGTAGAGGCGGCAGTTTGGTGCTAGACGACCAGATTAAAGAATAGACCTGGGAAGCCGCGTCGATAGACCTCGTCCTCACAGAGGCGGGCGCGCTGCGTGGTTGCTGAGACGATTGAGCCCGCAAGTCTCGAAAATACGTCGTTCTGCCCGGAGCCCACTTCCTCGCCGCCCAAGTTTTAAGCGCCGGGGGTCGTTCCTCAACCCACGAGCCGAGGCCGCCTGCTCGTCAAAAGATCGTAAGATGCTGGGATCTGGGATCAGGTCTCACGAGAAGGAAATTCTAAATGCAATGCGGCCCAGGGAAGGTCTGTGTGTGCGCGCGCGCAAGAGTGATCGACAGGAGCCGACGTCCTGGTGGTAAACCCAAAGGGTGGAATGAGGAATAAGAGGCTTTGCGATCGTCTCGTGTGAGATGAGAATCTCGGATGAATCAGCGCGACTAATGTGTGATCAGCATGAAGGATTGGCCGTCTCCAAGGTTCAACAGAAAGGCGCGGGGGTTGTTCTGTAGTGTGGAGAAGAAGAGAATGGACAGGGGGGGAGGCGTCAAGGGCGCGGTAGTACTGTGCTGTACCGGACTGTACTGTACTTTGTAGCTCCGTGGTAGGTCTGGCGGCACCATGAAAAACAGCTATGCCGGACAAAGAATAGACGCTGGACGTACCTCCCAGGGTCGTCACCCAAGGTTACTTCGACTTCCGTGCCGATCGGCACCTGCGGCCGCTCAAGCTACGTATGTGGTACTGGTCTCGGTGAGACCTGTAGCCGACGGTGATTCGATGTAATTTGCTTTGCTTTGCTTTCTGACAGATGGTCAAGACGCGAAGCCCGGAGTCCTGTGGACTGTTAGAATGACCGTGTCGTGTGGTGGGCCGAAGCGCGGGAAGAGCAGGCACTACAGTGGCAATAGCTTCAGCACTTGGACTGAGGCTGATGTGATTTCTGACCCCAGGGTCTCATCCAACGTTGGTTGAGCGGTGCTGCACAGTAGACGCAGGACTAGACCGGGGGGGACTGCGCGGGTGTGAGGCACGAAGTCATCTCCGTATCTGCATCAAAAACCTGCACAGCCGCCGACCCTGACTCTTGACACGCCGCTTGGGAGCTTGGGCTAGGCGCAACGGGATGGGGCCTGGGGGGGGGGGCACATGGGAAGGGAAAGTCGGGAGAGGAAAGGTGATAAGAAATTCGGATGACACGTCAGAGGCACAGACACAATGCACTGCACCACAATGGGGAAGACGGTTTCGTCAACTCCGCTGGCTACCACCATCCGCGCATGCCATGCACGGATATAATAGTGAGCAATTGGGGAGGGTGAGTGGTCGGGACGAGTATGCATACAGGGGATGGCTGCAGAGTGTGATCGGGATTGCGTACTTGACTGTGGGTGCAACTCGCCCAGGCAAATAGTAAAGGCCGACCGAGCAAGGCTCGCCATGACAAGTTGGGCATGCTGCAGAGACTAAAAGGGAGTCTTTGGATGGTGGCACTTGAGAAAACGGCTGTGAACCTACCGGAAATAAACGAAGAGCTCGGGCTCGGGCTCGTTTGGGCGCCCCCAGCAGTCCCAAGTCTGTCTGGATTCGAACAGGCGACCGTCGGTCGTGAGCAAGCAGCTGCCAGTCTGCAGATGGACGGCTAGAAGTGCCGGGCGATGTCCGATAGGATGTGGACTGAGAACCTTGTCGTCGCCACAGCCCCTCGTTACTGCGTTATTGTGTCTCGACGTTTCGACTTGGTTTGCTATGCGTCGCCTTTTTCTTTGGACCGAAGCTTGTTGCCGAGCGTCTGCTGCGCTTGACTTCCGCAACTCAAAAATGGCCGGCGTGAGGTGGTGCTTTAGGGATGCCCTGCGGGGGAGAAGCGCCGTGAACGGTCTAAAAGCTCAGATGATTTGGGGTGCTGTGGCAGGATGCGGGCGCGCTTGGGGAGCTTCAGCTTTTTGACGCTGACGCGCGTTACGCCGGCTGGTCTGGTTGCGGGCTGAACCGGTTCTCGCTTCCTTGACAGGATTAATCGCAGTACAGTACGAGCTGTCAACGATTTTGAGCTGGCGCTGCACTAGAAATCCTGCCCTCCACAATACATCAGGTAGCCTTTTTCGATTTTGTGGTGTTTGCCCTGCAGGTCTTTGCCCACTCGCCCTGCAGATGGGCCGAGAAAGTTTGATAGGTTGACGCAAGGGCGGCACAGCTTGCAAGTTTCCTGCTTGCTCAAACGGGCGCGCCGGCGCGGAGGCTGAGTGTGAGCCCAGATACAATGGGGCAAAAATTGTGAAGTTTCCTCTCTGTCCTCTCCACGGCAGCAGCGAGCGCAACGCACAAGAGGGTTGGCCTGCTCCTTTTCGCTCTACGCGATTCGACCACTCGAGGGGTCCTGCTCACGATGCAGGGGATAGGCCGTGGCGGAGTCGCGAGGTGAGGTAAGATCAGACGGTTGATGCAGGTCCGCAGACAAGCTATGAAGGGGTCGGAAAGTTGAAGCGATGACACAGGACCTCAACAGAAAGTGGGATGCGGACCCAGCGGTTGTTAAGGCTGTGGCACGGCTTCAGTCAACCACTCAGACAAGGCCAAACTTTGTGTTTGATGAAGGCCCAAGTCTCAGGGCCCCCCAAATCCGTCAGAACGACCAGGCTGGAAAGATGGGTGCGGGATACGAATCGAAGAATTGTTCTGTAGCATGGGCTAGTCGATCAATCACCAAAACTAGGGAGCTCTCGGCAGTAATCTCTTCTCATCGCAACGAGGCCCTGAAGTCAGCAAGAGCACATGCCATGCAAGGTGCCATCTGGCCCAAGGCGACCAGGTGAGGAGCTGGGCTTATTAGCGAGCGGGTACATGGCGATGCTGGTACCGGTACATGTCGCCAGTTTCGATACCCGCAGGGCATCGCTAAGCCCGGACCGGCTCCAATATTGGGCGGCATGGCGCTTGTTGTCAGGGCGGTCTGATGTACCTGCCACCGGCCGCTGTACATGGGTACATGCGCCCTGCAACGTTGACTGTTGGCTGCAGCTTCTCAGGCATTTCCATCGACGGAGGACACCCCCGGACCTCCAGAGACATCCTTCAGCACCTCAACACAAACCTATTTAGATCGCCTGTGAAGTCGTTCGTGCTAAAGCAAAGACACGGGCTGGTTACTTGGTAGCGGCGCGGCCTCCCGCCCATCCCTGGACCCGACTCCCATGCTATGGCGGCCAGGACCAGGACGGACAAGGACGAAAGGATGTCAGGGTCGCCGACAGGGCCTATCCCTTGTCGCTAATCGCAGCCGCGGGCGGATGATAATCCCTCCCCATTGATGCTGACATATATCCCCATGTCTCGAAACCAAGCTTCATGGGTGGTAAGCGACAGCCGGGGCGCTGACTGGCTGGACTGGCCGCTGTCGCCGTGACGGGCCTCTCGAAGCCGGCGACAGGCTGTCTGTGCCGTCAGTAGCACAAAACCATACCGGCCGCATCGTCATCCCAACTGTGTGGTGTTCCCTCCTGGCCCCGGCCGGTCTAAAAGGTGCTGGGGCACACTAAGAAGAGGCGCTCTTTAGGCACCTCTGCGGCACAGCACACCCACCAACCGGCCTGTTGGTCCAGCAAGCGATGTCATGGTGCCAAAAGCGCTGCCCCGCTATGCTCTCACAAGCCAAACAGTGAGGAGGGCCTGCAGCTTCCGTCTGTACGCAATATCGACCTGCATGCATCGGGAGCCGGTCGGCTTGTACTGATGATCTGGGCCATGGGGAATCTCGCGGTTGCTGACATGATGTCTAGAGCAACCCACAGATTCATGACGCCTGTGCTGTACATTAAAGTGTCGCATGGATGTGATTTGCAGAAATTGCCCATGACTTAGTCTTACATGACCTTCCTGATGCGGCAACCCTTCAAGGCGAGAGTTGCACACCAGAAACGAGGCAGTCAACAGATGCTTGTCTAAGCAATTGGGCCTTGGTGACTGACCCGCGCTCTACTAGGCTACACGCGCTTGCCTCACGTTGATGAGACCGCCGGAGACAAGGAATGCTCGTGAACCGCAAGGTTCAGCCTCGCTCGATTCAGTGTTGTTGCCGCGATGTTGGTGGCCGTCTAGGATCTGAGGAGGCTTGCGGTACCAGATGGGCTGCCTCACCCTTTTCGTGCCCCACCGCAGCGGGGTTTGTGGTCGATGAAACTTCACAGCCAGGTGTCATTTCGCGAGGCTGGAATGCCCCCCGGCTGGTTGGGTCATAAAAGGCCCATCATAGTGTTTGGCCGCCACAAACGTGACGACGGGCACTTTCGTGGCCCGCTTGACCCGAACGAGGCCACGAGCCTGACATGCCGTCTTGTCCGGTTTAGGTGAAAACATGAACCGCGTGCGAGTGGGGTCTCGACCACCCGTAACATCGTAAATAGTAACATAATCCCCCTGTCGTGGTGGCAGACAGCGGCTTATGTCCTGCGATTGGAAGGGATAGGCCGCTGCATGGGGGGGCGCATTCGACCCTGGGCTACATTCTGGCACAGAAAGTTACCTGGGAAGTCTGTCAATCATAGCTCCCTCTCAAGGCAGATGCGTCACAGACGCCGAGAGCCAATGCCAGCGGAGGCAATGGTGTGGCCTGGATGCGTAAAAGGGAATGCACAAGCGGCAACCAATGGCACGCCCACGACAGGGACTGCCAAAGTTTCTATCGATTAGCGCGGGCAGGGCAAGTCTCAGCGCCCGGCGCAATTTGATAAATGCCCGCAGCGGTAGAGAGCTTCCAGTCGAGCCGAGTAGTATGAAGACCTTAACCAGGCGAGACCATGCTCACTAATAATCTGCGCGGGTTCCTGATTGTTGCAGAGAGTTCGTATTGCTGGACTGGACAGCCGCTCGAACGCGGCTGTGCAGCGATTTGTAGCGAGCGGCGGACGTCGGCAAATCCAGCCAAGACGCGCCTAAGCCGGCTTGATTAGCGGATGAGGACGCAACCCCCTCACTATCATCTGGCCTGGCGGGAGCTGAGTGGTGGGTTACCTGAGATGCCTTGCGCCGTCGGCTTGTTGATTCAAGTATCAGCTTGGTGCGTTCTCGATGTTGCTGGTGGTGACATCGTTGTATGTGGCGAAGGCCGTATGGGCCAGATGAGCAGAGTAGGGCGCCAAGGAACCAGTTCCAGACTTGCCAGAGCCTATTGTTCGCGTTCGGAAGTCTGTGTCTGGCGTGCCACCCCGGCCTGGATGAAACAGCCGAAAGGGTGATATTTTTAGCAGCTAATCCTCGTCCCCATCTCCGAGGGACTGCCAACCAAGCCTTTTGCCGCTCTGCTCCGCCTTGCCTTGCCCGAGATTAAACATGAGCTGGGCATCGTGAGAAGGCGAGGTGCTGGTGTTCTCGGTACTAACCAGGTGCGTGCCAGGAGTAGACAAATTCCGCAGAAGAGGCTGCAAAGCGGACCCGCCTGCACGCTGATGGCCTCGATGTGATGAAATTGAGGCGGCACCGTGGCCATGATTGGCTGGGTCAATACAGCATGCTGGCCTATGACAGGGCCGGAAAGTAGTAAAATAGCTGAAAGGGACCTGTGCGCCAAGCTCCATGGAGATAGAACTGGAAGTTGGAGGGCAGCGAGGGTGTGATACCAATCTTAGAACTGTAACACTCTACAACCGGGGGCATGTCCCGCGAGGAACGAGGGAAACTGTTGCTCTGGCGTTCGATGTGATGACATCCGGCTGCATTGCAGGCGCACCCGCGTTAGTGCAAAGCTGACGAGTCGCTTATCGCGATCCGCGAAGGTCCCGTTGGCGGTCACGCAGGTGAGCGACTCCATCGTCAACCTTTAATGCTATTCTTCCCGTCAAGTGAGACAAAAACCATGCACGAATGACTAAGGGTGCAATCCGCTTACGCAAATCGACTCTGGACTGTGTACGGCGTGGGATGGGGATGACTGACCACCCACCCATCGTCGTCTTCATGTCGCATTGCACGTCGTGTGCGCGCCCTCGCGGATTTGGCAGTAGAGCCCGAAGCCACGATACGCTTCAATCGCAACTTGGTTGCATTGTCCAGGCCTGACCTAGTCCAGTCCGGTTCGAACGAAGTGAGCAGGCCGCCAACACTCATCGCAACACTTGCCTGCAGCCTTGAGCTGTTGAACCTTGGCCGCGTCCTCACATGTCCCCGCTTGCCTGCAGGTATCGAGGCTGGTTCACGGCACAGCTTCTCTCTGCCTGCAAATAGTAGCTTGGGAGGGGCATATCGCAGGCCACTGTCACATTAGTCCTCTGTGAGTTCTGGGAATTGTTGGCGATCAAGGCCCACCGTGGGACCGATGAGGTCGCGGCGTATGGCGCTTCCTGGCTGAGCTTCTGGCCAGTGTAACAATGCCTGCCATTCACCATTGCACGCCGCGAGCCACCGACATGCTGCCTCCCTCGCAGAGTAAGCTTGCCGGCTGGTGGGTGATCGGTTCGTAGGCCGCTCGCTCGCTCGCAAGGACGGGGAGGCCGCGGCAGAGGTCGGGAGTTGACTTCCCCATCAGGCGCCGGTGAAACCAGACAAGCGAAGGCGCGGCGCAGCGCGGAAACGTGATCCGCGCAGGAATAAGGTACCTCGGCTGGGTACTTTTAACAACACACCACACGAAGGCATCCTGGCAGATTCCCAGGCGTCGAGTGGCAGGAAAGCTCTGTGCGTCAAGTGATATCGACATCAGCACAACACGCCTGGCTGGCGTGTAGCCTCCCTCTCCCTGCCCCCGCTGGGTCCGCTAGTACCAAGGTTCGACGAGGAACAACGGTCCCATGCGCCTGTGAGGCATTGTAACGTGACCACAAGCGTCGTTGTTGGCCATTGAATGTGGAGCCAGCCAGCCAGTGAAGTAGCCTTCGTCACCGAATGATCTGTCAGAGTCGAATTAGACGACAAGGGTTTGAGGAGTCCCAAGCGGTTGGTTGAGGGCAAATGGCGTCCGCCGGTCGACACAGTCCTGGGCAAAAAGTGTGTCTCTGTCAAGAACACCTGGCTGCTCACCGCCGTCTGGGGGCAAAAGGGTCATTTTGAACAAGCTTTGGACAGTCTGTACCAAATGAAAGGCCCTCTTCCTGCAGCTTTGCCGACCATGTTGGAGGGACAGCCCAAGCGGACGGCGTCTGTTCTGATTGGGCCCAACGACGGGAAGGAAGCCAACAGGAAAGCCACCTCCGAGCCATTGGGAATCTGGGCAAGCCCCAAGGAGATGGTGGCTATGGGGATGGCGTTGGTGTTGGTGTTGGTCGGGTCGAGCTCTGGACGTGCAGCAGCTTGGTCACCGCCGAGAGCGAGCTGCGTCGCTGCCCTCCTACTGGCCTCCTTCGTTCCTTCCGAGCACCATGCTCTAGAACGTGGCACCCTAACCCTGAGCCAGCTAGACCAAGCTGGGGGGAGGGGGGAGGTGGTTTCCATGTTCCCATCGACTCGACTTCCATGTTATGAACGTGGTTGCCCACTTCGGGAATTTCCTTGCCAGCATCACAAGCACCGCTCAGCATAGCAATCAGGTCTGTCAAAAAGTTTCAAACAAAAACAAGATTCCGATTCCTCGCTGACCCATGTCCAGACCCTCTCACGCACTCACCGCGCTGCGAGCAAGCAAGACTCCTGAGCAATCAGCGGGCTCCAAATAGCCGCCCACCAGTCGGTCTGCGACGTGTAAGCGCCGTCCAGACTTCTCACAACCTCACGACTTCCAGAAGGAGCTCTGGAAGGCCTCAAGGGCCACCAAAAATAGGCTCACCGACGTCTTCTCTGCCCACATGACTGGTCATCGTTCATCTATGGTTGAGATCTCTTGAGGGCAAGCGCCCAGGGTCCCCCTACTTTTGGTTCCACGGGTCCCTCGTCTGCATCGCCCAGCCTCAAAGCAAGATCTCGAGATGCAGGTGCGCATGCAGGGCACTTGAACACCTGCCGGGTCGACGGAGGGCGGCTGTTGGAAGACAGGACGAGGCGCCGGTGATGTCAGACACCGCCAGTGTGTTCGTTGGGTGTGTTCGCGCCGCAGAACACTGCAGATGGGATGCGATGGCATCGCGCTGTGGGTGGCGCCGGCGTCACGCTGGAAGGCGCCCCCTTCCTCCGCGCCTCCCCCGTGGTGTTCACCCGCCGACTCGGGCTGAAGGAACAAGAAGCCTTGTTGGACCTGCGCGTCTGTCGCCGTCGTCGTCGGGACCGCGTCGGCGGGTGGTCGGCCGCCCTCCACACCCATACACACCCCACGGGCGGTTAATGTGTGCTCTAAATCTGCCATCCCGCCGGTTTGCTGCAATGCAGGGCAATCTGGTGCCTGTCACATCTGCCCCATTGGTGTACCTGACAGATCACCCGCTAGGATGTGGCCTGGACATCGTAAAGGGTCCTCTGATAATGTCCAGAACAACCAACATCACCACCGACTGCGACTACCGGCATGAGACAAGATACTGGGCCCTTGGGAAAGGGGGCACGATCTATTTTAGGAGGCGGGTAACTTGCATCTTGCACGCGCTGTCTAGAGTCCTAGGCGCAGGTGCGTTGCTAAAATAAGGCGATGCGGCTGCACGAGGTAACTTGTCTATCACGACGACAACCTATCAAGCCCTGCTCGACAGCGGCGGTCTACACCTCAAAACCTGCCCCATCCCAGCCGAATACCCGCCTGTGGACACTGGAATATTCCAGGCTATTGGGAGCTGCAGAAAGTTTTGCAGATAAGACACCCACTAGTCGCCCAATCCCGCCTTGGTTGCTGTCCAACCGACCTGGATCCATATGGCACATCTCCGATCACACAAGCGCCCGGAGCTCCCGTGGCTGTCAACCTGCCCCAGTTGCCAGTTGATGTCTGGAGAGCCGCACGCGGTACACTCATGTATACAACTTGTACCGGTACGAAGGGCCTCTTGTCAAGAACAGTCGAGGTACGTTACGATTTGAAGACGCCTCGTTTCGACAGCCTTGCATACGATCCCTTGCCCCTTGGCAACAAACGAGGATGGGGCAGATCACGATGATCATCGGAGAGATCTGTGGTCACTATGAGTGGTCTTCTCATAGCGGGCTAAGAATAGATGCCTTCATTCCAATGGATGTGACTGATATGTCCAGATGACTGACTCCCAGCTGCGCCTAGACTCCATCATCACACGGTCAACATCGAGAGCCAAGATGGTTTTGATCTCATTTGATGTATTGGACAAAAGTATCGCTGTCCCTGGTCCTATCTCCTATCTTGTCTATTGCGTCACCGGGAGCGAATCTTGCACCCTCAGCAAGTCCGTGTGAACCATTGGCAGTTGTCTAGAACTGCAACGTGGTAGAATTATCTCATTAATCCATCATGTAACGTGGCCACCATCAATGGGACCAACGACCAAAAAATCTGCGTCAACAATCTGATGACCGCATCTTCACCCATCACTTCCTCTGTCTCTTGGCGCTCTTGTCGGACGTCGTGCTGAGAACACTCGCGCTGCGCTTGTTCCCAGAAGCGCCACCGCCGCTGCTGCCTGGTCTGCCGCCTTCCTCTTCCTTGACGACAGGAGTACTAGCATCATTACCAGCTGCGGCGGCACCGACGCCATTTGCAACGGGCGCATCTGCTGTCTGTTGTGCGTCAGCGCCGGTATCAGTCGATGTGCTGGCTGGTTCTCCGTTGGTCTTGGGAGGCTTGTCCTCGGATGCGGCTTCCGGCTTGGTCTCGGCGGGGCCTTCGTCGGCCTTCTTGTCTTGATTAGGATCTTCGTTGGCGCCATCGAGGCCAAGTACAACCCGGGCCTTGGCCCGTTCGGCCTTTTTGGCTTCTTCGATTTTGATTTCGCCGTCCAACTTGTCTCGCATCTTCCTCAGATCCACCAGGCCTGTCACTGCAAGTACCAGCTTCTCGTACTCCGCCACCACGGCTGCAGTCGGCATGTTGAGACGCACGGGTATGTCGAGTTCGGTAAGAACATTCTGTATCCGTTGCTGCTGTTGGCCGCTCTTGTGCGAGAATATCTTGTTGACCCGCTCATACCTAAAGGTCGGGCCTGACCCTAGACGTTCATGCGTTGAGACACCGTAGATCTGTTCCTCCTGCTCATTGAGCTTGCGCCGCTCTGGCGGTGGTTGGCCCTTCTTGTTACCCGCTGGTGTAGGCTTCTCGGCGCCGATGGACTCGCGAACTCCAGCTGAAGGCGCGGCAGTGCTCTCACGCCGACTCGGAGGCGCTTCAGATGTCGCACTAGCAGGCTGACCGTTGGGAGGAGCAGGGACAGCGGGGCTTGTGCCCTCCGGTCCGGTTATAGGCTTGCGCTTCTTGGCCTGGCTCATGTTTTGCAGCGTACCCAGGAGATTCGTAAGACCTGCACTGCCCTTGAAAGCATTGATGTCTTGGTCGGAGTGTGGGTATTCAAGCCTCTGGTAGAGCTCCTTGCGCTCCTCGTTGAACCTCTCCTGACGTGCCATTATGCGCTTGACCTCGATGAGCAGCGATTCCTCCTCCTTGGCTTCCTCCTTGGACCGAGACATGGAGTTCAACGCAAACTTCTTTCGCTCCCTCTCCTGCTCCGGTTTGAAGTTGACCATGGTTTGATGCAGGTCCCATTCAGGTTGGGTCATGTACTGGATTGCCTTCTGCAACTCCATCATCTTGGCTGCGACCTCGTAGTACCGTGCCTTGAGATCCTCCATGTCCCTAGGCTTGACCACGGGTACTACAGCTGAATCTGATCCATTCGTGTCCGTACCCTCGGGCACTTTTGGGCTGAAGTCGTATCTGTCCCATATAACCGGCCAGCGCAAGTCGTAAGCTTTCACCAACTCCATCAAATATGTGGTCTCCTCCTTTGTCCAGTCTTCGCTTTGCAGCTTCGCACTGTATTGCTCTTCGTTGTATTCAGGTATCTGCACCTTGACGTTGAACTTTGCGAATGCCGAGTCCTCGACCGCCTCCTCGTTTCTCTTACCCTCCTCTGCATTCTCGTTCGCTCCCTCTGTAGACTCGCCATCGGCAGGGTCACCAGGCTGGCCCGGTTCTGTTTTTCGTTTCCAATGACGCAGGATGAGGCCTTGATCAGAGCGCGCAGAGTTCCTAAACTGTTTGAGCTCCCATTTCGCGGCCGGTTTGCGATTAGCGAATCGACGTTTCTTGTAGAGAGAAACCTCTGGGACGATTGCAATGGGATTGTCGCCGCCTAGATTCTGGACTTCTCTTGCTAAGCCTTTGAGATTGTGTCGTGGTGCTGCGGTCTTCTGTTTTGGACGGTCGCGGGGTGAGGTCGTCGGAAGGAAGATTGAGGACATCGCGAACGTCGTTGGATGCCATGATGGAAGAAGTAGATGGTCAAGCCTTGGGTATCAAGAAGAGATGGAGTCATTTAAGAAGACATCGGGGATGGGAAAGGATGTGGACGATGGTTAAACACGCCGATTCGATGGAATTTGATGGGAATTTGATGGTGGTTCTGATGACGGAATGCAGAACAGTTTGGCGAGATCCACGTCAATCGCGGTATTGAGTCGCGCCCCTGCAAAAGATCTATTCCAACTGCCAAAAGTTAGCAGAGCGGAGCACGGATCACCTGGCGGTGCTTGCAGTAGCACCAAGCCGCTTCTGGTAAGCGGTTGCCGGCCGAGAGAGCTTGGGGAAGCTGGGCGGCGACAGCACCCTGGCTGGGATTTGCAGGAACGTGGCTCTTTTGGCTCCCAGCTCGTAAGCTAGTGAATGTCTGATCCTGTGCGCGTGTCAAGCTCGACACCAACATACAACCCACATCGACGACCTTGGTCCCGACTTTGATCTCCCGAATACCGATCAACGACCCATTGATCGCCGGGCACGGAGAAGCGCTTGCCGAACGGCCCGCGAGGATATCAAAACCTACCAAACGGAGCAGCCAACACCATGAGAGCCTTCCTCCCTCTGCTGGGCTTGAGTTCCCTGGCCCAAGTCACCCAGGCGCTCTACTTCTTCCTCGACGGCACCACGCAGAAGTGCTTCTACGAGGAGCTTCCCAAGGACACCTTAGTGGTCGGGCACTACACAGCGGAGGAGTTCGATGACCAGAGGAACGCGTGGTGGAAGCACGATGGCATCAGCATCTTTATCACTGTTGATGTATGTCAATTGGTGCCTGGAGAGTTGGATGCTCTGCGCTGACACATTCTTCACCAGGAACTATTTGACAACAACCACCGAATAGTCTCGCAAAAAGGCGGCGCTGGCGGGCGCTACACCTTCACTGCGCACGAGGCCGGCGACCACAAGATTTGCTTCACTCCATCCTCCGACAGCGGCAAGCCCGGCTGGCTCAGCACTTCCAACCCCAACGGCGGCATCAAATTGACCCTCGACATGACCATTGGAGAGTCGAGCGCGATCGAGAGCTCGGACAAAGACAAGCTGCAGGACATCCAGTCAAGGATCAAGGACCTCAACTCACGACTGCAGGACATTCGAAGGGAACAGGTCTTCCAAAGAGTATGATTACCACAGCTTGCCCCAGGTTACCAAAGACCGAGCCCAGAAGACTGACTAGCATAACAGGAACGAGAAGCTGAATTCCGAGACCAATCCGAGGCTACAAATTCCCGCGTCGTTCGATGGATGATGATCCAGCTGGTGATCCTGGGAGGAACGTGTGCGTGGCAGTTGTCCCATCTGCGGTCGTTCTTCATCAAGCAGAAGCTCACTTGAGGCAACTTCAATCCGATTTCTGGCGAAGCGAAACGGAAGACATGGGTTCGCATGTGAAATGTGGTTAGGAAAAGCATGTCTCATGAGAGGGCGTTTAGCTACCGGTTTATTAATGGAAATGTTATACAACGAACTGCGCCAACGAGCAGACACTGGGCTAGCGATCCCAGGTGCGCTGCGCGTGCGAGTGGTTCGAGCTTCATTGACGGAAATCGCCCGACGGCGCGGCATATCGAGCTTGTGGATCAATGTGCCATGCAAGACATCAATACCGGGCTATGATTATCTCGACTGGGAAGGTGGCCAGCATGCGAATCAAGAGACATATACATGAGTACTGCTGCATCCCGAAGCCAAATTCCGGGCTTCCTGGAGCGCAACATTGGCACACAACCTCCCTTATTATAGTATGGCCTGAACACCACATCCACTGCCTTTTCAGCCACACCAGTAATCACACCGCAAACAACTGCTTGTGTCACAAGACGGCACAAAACGGCACAAGCCGGAATCCCCAAAGATCTGCCAAATTTTGTTTGGGCCCAGCTCAGAGAGCGGCCGGGCCGGCCGTAAAATCCGAAGCCAAGTTAGAATTCCCCGAACGCCGATTTGTGAACCCCCTGGTTTTCTCCCGACTGATCCCATCTCATCTCCACCATCTCCGGCGCGGGCATTGAGCGACTGCTACTCTTCTGGGAAAGTATACTTAACAGGCTCGTGACCCTGTCCCGCCCTGGCTCATGTTCGCAGACACCCTTCGACACATTTTGCCAACAAGTGTCAAGTCATGCCCAACAACGGCGACACATCCAATTACACCTCTGTGTTCCGCCTGACGCCATTGGGTGACCCCCATCGCAAGGTGATCAAGCGCAACCGGCAGGTCGTCTCGTGCGTGCCATGCCGCACCCGGAAACTGAAGTGCGACCGCCAGCAGCCATGCAATTCCTGCGTCAAGAGGAGCGATGCTGTCTCGTGCAGGTTCTTTGGAGCCTCCGGCGCCGCTAGCGTGGGGGCTCATTCTCCGTCTGTGCCTCGGAAGCAAATGCAGATCAGGCTGCAGCAGTTGGAGGACCTCGTCAACGGGATGATAACGGAGTCGGGCGATTCGGCAGCGAAGGACACGAGTCGCGCGACACCCTCGGCAGAGGGACCACAGCTGGCCGTATCGACCTCAAGCCGTGATGAAGCCGTGTCGCCGGGGCAGTCCTCGGCTCAAGAACAGCTGGGCAGTGAGGGTAACAACGTGCGATATGCTGGAGGCACTAGTTATGCCGCTGTTCTCGAGTGTATTCACAATCTCCAGGAGATCGTGGACGAGGAAGCCCCTGACTACTTGTCGGCCAGTTCTCAGCATCTGTCTCGACCTGGAAGTCAGCATGAGGCCCGAGAAGGGCAACAACAACAGGAGCCTGTTTCTGCTCAGTCTTACGAATCTACAACACCACTTACGGTGCAGCAGATCATGGATTGCTTGCCATCAAGAACAGAGTGCGATAAAATCCTCACATTCTACTTCCAACAGGTCTGTATGTACGAGCTTTCTTTTCTGTTGCGCACAAGGCCTCGACCCGGAGAGCCATGTAGAACTCTCGATCTTGAGCTTTCTCACAGCTTGTTGACGAATCGTAGACATCATCCCGATGGCTATACACTCTGGCCAGTTTCAGCGGGCATACGAAGCATTCTGGAAAGAACCCAACAGTACCAGTCGGCTATGGATAAGCGCGCTATTCTCTGTTTTGTCAACCGCTGTCTTTCAGCAAGCCTCGAAAGCTGCCGGCTGTGAAGGCCTCGGCGAAGCGGGGATTCAAGATGCAGAAGCCAAAGAAAGGATTGAATTGTACAGCAGCATGGCATATCGTTGTCTTGTCGCTGGTGACCACCTTCTAGGGAAGCCGTATTCTGTTGAGGCTGCACTCCTCTTTGTCATGCACCTCGTCCTGCAGAAACGGGACACCGACCCGATGTGCTGGCATACCTTTGGCACTGCCATTCGACTGGCCCAACGAATGGGATATCACCGAGACCCGTCCTATCTGAATCGAAACAGCAACATGAAGATCTCACCCTTCGACGCTGAAATGCGCCGAAGGACCTGGTATACACTTGAACACCTGGACATTTCTTTTGGATTCCTACTCGGAATTCCACCTGTCATCCATGGCGACGATGTTGACACGCAGCTCCCTTCGAACCTGCGCGACGAAGAATTCAGCGAGCACAGCAAATCGCTACCACCATCAAGGCCAGCCTCAGACTTTACACCAGTTCTGTCGTATATTTTCTACGCCAGACAGGTGCAAGTTCTTCGCCGGATCGTCAGGCAGGCCATAGCCATCGCTCAGCCCTCTTATGGCGACGTAATCAGCCTCGACGCCGATCTACGTAGTTTGCACGATGATGTGCCGCCTAATCTTCGCTACAGGCCGATACGGGAAAGCAGTTTCGCCGATGCCCCTGACATAATAGTGCGCCGCATGATACTTGAGATCATGCACCTCAAAGGCATGTGTGTGCTGCACAGGCGCTATCTGACCCTGGGGAGGGAAAATGCCGTCTACGATCGGTCAAGAGAGGCATGCCGTGATGCGTCGCTAAAATTGCTAGATTTGCATGCTGAGTTTGATCAGCAGAGCGGTGATGGAGGGAGATTGTACGAAAAGAGGTACATGGTGACGAATGCTGGTTTCCATGTCTTCCTCTTAGCGGCCATGTGTCTTTGCCTTGACCTGGTGGCAAGCTTTGGGAACAGGTAAGTTGAGTGACTCAACGTTGGGGGACATTCCACTGATCATACCATGATTGCTAGTAAACAACCGTTCCACGATCATGCGGTCTCTGCCCTGAAGCGGGCACGCACAATATGGGGCCGAACAGCCAACGCCTCCAAGGAGTCGGCTCACGCAACAAAGATTCTTGATACTATTCTCACTAAAGTCTCACCACCCGAAAGAGTCTCAAGCCCACAGAACAGCGACAAGTACCGCTATAATGCGGCCGCAGCTGCGCCAACCTCGGCGAGGAGCCCTCATTCAAGCTCACCATCCGAGCAACCTGACACACCAGCGTCCAGCTGGTCAGCAGTAAACAACAAGGCCCCTTCGGCCGGCACAGCAACCAGAAGGGGCTTTTCCGTGGCATGGGACTTTGGAATGGACGCATTTCATTCCGGGCGCACGAGGAACCGAGACTCGGATGATCCGATAGACATGGCCGTAAACGGTGACATGGACTGGGTAAGTCTTGCACCATCTACACCTTTCCCCCTCATATCTGCAAGCCAAGGAGCTGACCTGGACATGCCAGAATGAACTCGATTCGTTTATCCTGGACCGTGAGCATATTGGAAGCACTACTGCTACGTCACCTGTGCCTACAGCCGCGGATGAAAACCCCAGGGAAGGATGGCCCTATATCGAGCGCGGTGGCAGGAAAGCCAGAGAGAACTGGCCATACCCGCAGTATGATCACAATGGCGGATCTACTGAATCGAGTACCATGAGTTTCCGCACCTGGGCGAGGGGCGGGACGACGTTGGGCGGCTTTGGTTTTCCTTGAAGGTCCTCTTGTTGCAAAGCCCGACGGTGAAGTACCGTTATTCAATCTCACGATGGAGATTGAATCAAGCGAGATAGATGAAGTCCACTATGACGAACGTCCCAGAAGGATAAGTTGTTGAATTGGATACATGTACAAAGCCCAGCATGGCGTGACGATGCATGAAATACCTATGTACATCACTTGCAACATTTCAAGCTGCAGAAATGTGGGAACCAAAGAAATCCACCAAGTCAAAAATACTCCTTTTGTAGTGCCTCGTCAACAGCCCATCCGTACGGTTGACCGTCTGCAGGCCATACTGGTTCTCATAGCTCCCAAACTCATTGTTGTCAGCAAAACTCCAGGCCAAGGCCCCAATGACATTCACGCCATCCTCATGGACGCTCTTCAGCGCCTCAGCCAGGAAGTCCAAGTAGTACAGCGAGCGCTCCAGGTCCTGCCGCTGGTCCCCGAGCGCGCGCGCGTACTCGCCGTAGACGGGGAACCCAAACTCGGTGACCATGATCCCGCCCGCGGGGCGGAACGTGTCCCACACGTACCCCAGCTGCTGCCGCACGTACTGCGGGGCGATGTACGAGTAGGCGTTGGACCGCGCGCCCATGGCCCAGCCGTTTAATTGCGTGTTGGATAGCGTTGCACAGGTCGGGAAGAGGGGGTGTGACGTGTTTGCGGCGCATGCTGCGATCCCGCCCGGGGCGGGGCTGGCGAACTGGGAGATGTAGGCGTCGACGGCGTAGAAGTCGCTTGTGCCGTTTATGTATGCGATCTCGTCGTCCGTTAGGGCCGGGAGGTCGACGCCGGATGTGTTGCGGACGACTTCTGGGTACTGCTCGCCCAGGTATAGCGGGTTTGACATGATGCCGAGCTGGAAGTCTTGGTAGCGGTTGGCCGCCTCTACATCGTCAGGGTTGGAGGGGTCCAATGGGAGAGCCAGTGTGCTGGAAATCTTTGTGGAGATTCGGCCTGTGCCGTTGAGCGTCTCCTTGTACCAATGGTAAACATCGGCATGTGCTAGGAGGATGTTCGGTAGAGCAGGATAGCCGAAGAAGTAGCCCACCAGGTTGGGCTCGTTGAATGTGATCCAGACCGGGACGCGGTCGGCGAAGCGCGTCATGACCTGTTTGGCATAGTAGAGGAAATGCTCCCGAAGCGATGCATCCTCAAGTGATATCAGGGCTGGATTGTCGATGTGCATAAGTGTCACTATGGGCGTCACACCGTACTCAAGACAAGTGCTGATAACGTCCTCGTAGTGATCAAGAGCTTGAGTGTTGACAGGAGAATCCGCAACGCCAAAAGGCACGACACGGCTCCACGAGATTGAGAATGAGTAATACGGAACCCCGATGGCTGCCAACCGTGCTATATCCTGTTTGTAGAGAAAGTAGTTCATGTCTGCAGTGTTGGAATCGTTCCCGCTGGTAGGATTGTCGGTTGTCCCCAAAGTGTCGAGCTGACCAGGCCCGCGGCCCTCGAGCTGGAGACCACCCTCGATCTGCCAGGCACTCCCTGCGACTCCCCAAATAAACTCAGACGAGAATTGAGACGCGTTCTGGTCAATTTGCGGTGCATTGTATAGAGCTGGTGGAAAGACAAGCTCGCTGCTGGCAACCGGAGTCGGAGAGGCCGTCGTGGTGAAAGGCGGCTCGGTTGAGTAAGTGTAATTATCCCATAGAGCTACATAAGCACTCTGACCGTAGATTCCATCGTTGGTGTAAGTGGCGTTCCGATCAAGTGAGTATGTTGTATAAGTGACGTTGGCTGGTAATAACGTAGAAGCGTCCGTGAATGAAGGGGCGTAAGGGGTCGCGTAGGTGACGGGCGACGGCAGAGGTGTTGGGTATCGATCCGAGGTCATCTGTGTGTAGGCAAAAGAGCTGTAGCTGAAGGTCGCTGCAGTAGGATCTGGCGCCAGCTGAACAGCATAAGACATGGTCACAAGTCCAGCCAAGGCAAGCCGCAGGACGTTGACACACATCGTGATGGTGGTAGATCTCCCCCTGCCAGAACAGGAGGACAGTTAGGAAGGCGGAGTGGTGAAAGGGCCAACATGTAGGGAACAAAGACAAAAGAACCGGAACAACAATACGACAATTTCGTCATGATATAATTTATCTCCAGCTAACAAATACCATATCCCTGCCATGGGGAACACGCGTTGACTGTGACTTTATTGCGGAGTATGCCGGTCTATAATTTCTAGTAGTAGGATTGAGTCGGGTTTTCCGCGCGGGTGCGGGAAATGAACCCGGCAATTCCCACTAGAAGTTCTCTCCAAATTCGGGCCAGGACTGGCCGAACCGTGTTCAAGAGGAGCGGCTACAACTTATGCGCCAATCATGAATGCCATGGCTCTGATCGATTTTGCTTTGACACTGTTTTCAAGACTTTGTTTCCAACAAGTGTCGCATCTCTACTTGTTCTTCCCGCCTGATTGGCCCTTACACGCAGTATGCCCCATCTCGTTGCGAAAACCGGCTGTTTTGCATGTCAATACCTCGTTGTGCTCGACGACATGTTGGTCGCAAGTATTTGGAAGTGTTGAGACAAATGGCCCGGGTCACCATCTCGGTGAGGTTGCACAGAGGATGGAAAACCCGAGCGGCCCAGTGAATAGACTGATTGTAGGCAAAGTTGATTCTGGGATGATTGGATAGACTGTGGTTTGACACTGACGTCAAGCCGTCTACTTTATTCTTTATTGATGTAGTTGGGTCTGGGCCAGCGAGGAGACCTGGCTAGGATTATTGGGCTCCCAGAAACTGAAGCATTACGTCCGGTCAACAGCGAGCCTTTGAAAGCCAGTTCATCAAAGTATGTTGTGAAAAACAAGTATTGGTCGCCGTAGATAGACGAGGACGAGGACGACATTTGCCTGATCGACCGGGGCTTGATAACTGAACTCTGGCTACGGATGCATTGTCGATGCTTGAGGAATCATCACAGAGCCACGATCAAATCTTCAAGTTGTGAACAGGGGTGTTTGCCCTGAAATACTCTGGCAATTTGCGGCGCACCAGTCCCCCACCATTTTTTCTGTTTTGAGCAGCGAAGGAGAATTGTGTCTCATTTTTATTTATAGAGGGCGAAGCTCGCTGGTCTGGCTCGATTGTTTAGCTACTTGGGACAATAAGACGGCCGAGAAAGTGATGTGCTGGACAACTGTTTTCTCACCGGATTTAGCGGGCTTTACAGCAAGGCGCAAAGCTCTATCCTTTGAAGTAGTGGGGTTGAGCTCGATCCCACGTCACGGACCCAGAAGATAGGATCTCGAGATCGACTCAGTTCATACTATAATTATAAATCCGGACAGCAGTCAGAGCTCGTGTCCACCATCGATTCAAGCTTCTATTTTGCTTGGCTCTCCCTCAACGCCTCATCCCACCACTCTCAACATGTCACTCTCAGGAAAGGTCGTCTTGATTACCGGTGCCTCGATGGGCATCGGCGCCGCAATCGCCCACCAACTTGCCAGAAAATCAGCAACGCTGATCCTCTGGTCACGGTCCTCTGACAAGCTTGAAGAATTAAGCAGCGAGCTGAAGGCCATCCCGGGCGCCGGTCCGGTCCACCACTTCGCCGTCGACGTGGGCAAGCACTCGCAGATTTCCGAGGCCATCAGCACCATCGTCAAGCAGCTTGACGCCCCCATCGACATCCTCATCAACAACGCCGGACTCGCCCTCGCCGCACCCAAGCTCTTCCCCGAGCAAAGCCTAGAGGACATCACCACCATGGTCAGCACCAACATCAACGGGATCCTTTACACCTCGCACGCAGTCCTGAATGAGGGCCGCATGCTCGCTGCCGGGAGGGGGCAGATCATCAACATTACGTCAGTGACTGGGCTGGAATGCCCGCCGTTCCCCGGCGAGGCTGTCTACCACACGAGCAAGGCCGCCCAGGAGGCATTTACGAACATTCTGAGGAATGAGCTGAAGGACACGGACATCAAGGTGCTCGCGGTGCGGCCGGGCGTGGTGGCTACGAATTTCCACGAGCAGAGGGTTGGTTATGACAAGGACAAGTACGAGGGTTTCATCGAGGGCTACGAGCCGCTGGTTGCAGATGACGTTGCCGAGACGGTGGCGTGGGTGCTGGAGAGGCCGGACAGGGTGAGCGTGAAGGCTCTGGATGTTGTTCCTACGGCCCAGAGGAGTCTGACCGTGTTTGATCGGAATTGGAACGAGAGGAGGGAATCTCGGGGCTAGACGGCTGGCATCACTTAGCTGGGCGAACACCCTTTGTGGCAAGCGGCATAATGCATAATGCGTTTGCCTGGGGTAGCCAACTCACTGAGACTTCATCCTCAAAGTGAAAACCTGCAGGTTTCAAAACAAATTGGCTTCGAAATTCCCGCCAGGCACCTTGAAGGCACGGTCCGGACACATTTAGGCATGCATCAGTTCCCCCGAGAATGCCCCCTCCCCCCTGAATTGCTGTTTAGCTACCTTTTTCGGGAAGATTGGTTACTTCGATGATGTCTGAGGCTGCAGAAGACCAGACACTGGGAACTTGAATTGACTGGTAGGTACATCTGTCAGTCAATTGTGCCAAAGACTGGCTTAGGTAACCGGATGACCGTCAGTTGTACTCGGGCTTAGTGGTCAGTGTCTTATACAAGCATGCACGTGCACTCGTTTTCCATAAGAAGGCATCATGGTATCAAGTGCCAAAAGAATTCATTCGCAATGTGCTGAATGGCTAGGGGCAAACCGCAACGGCCCACAGACGGTTTGTCGCCAACACCCAAAAGCCGTCACCTGTCAAAGAAGGTTCAAGTCTTTCATATCTGTCGGCGTCGAAGTTCCCACCTCAGCAATTCCAAAACTTCCCAACCCAGCGAATCCTCCGTTTTGGGCATGGTTTGCACCACCTCAAATCTACTCTGTGGCACAATCGGACTCGCCATCAGGGAGGCAGCGGCAAGTGCCGTGGCCGTTCTCGCTGCGCGCCTTGACGTGAGGAGGGTAGCAAGCATCGTAGAAGATCATCTCGTCGATGCCGGTGGACTCTTGAGCGCAGATGAGCTAGCCATCAAATATTAGAAAAGAGTCCGGCCTTCGAGTCTGACGCTGAGGATCTGGCCGGTTGTGCCCAAGGAGGAACAGGAAGGCTAGTTGATAGGGCAGGAAGGCAGCAAGGCAGGGCAGGAGAAGCAGAGGGCATTAACAACTGACCATTGCTCCAGTGAGGGCACAACCGTTCTGGTGGCCGTAGCAGGGGTCGCCAATGTTTCCGGTCCTTAGCAGTGTGTTAGAATTTACTCAAATCTCTGCCACTTCCAAGTCAACAAGAACGAAGGGCTGGGAAGGCAAGTACCAGCAGGTGGAGTTTTCAGCGGCGAGAGTGGCGGAAGCGAAGGCAACGATGGCGACGAGAATGCGTGGAGAGAACATCTTGACAGACTTGACTTGGTTGCCTTGGATGGGTTGACTTGTGTGATATCGACAACTTGATTTAAGAACTGAGTCTTGGTCGATGGGTCTTGACCGGTTCGAGGGTTGAAGGTGGAAGGATTCCTCGAAGTGTGTGGGAAGGGCAGAAGTTGGTGGGCTTTTGTACTTGTGGGAAGGGGGATAGCCAGAAAGGCAGTCACTGCAACGCCTGGCCTCGTATTGGCAGTGCCTTCCTAACCCGTGCGTCACTTCTGAAGAACATGGGCCGAAGCTGTTGCTCTCCAGTGAGTGGTCACGTGGCAAACAACACTGATGCTGAATTCTCTGTAAGGAAGATCAGTGAGTCACGGAGGATAAGTCTCCACTGTTGTTGGTGGTCGTTGCGAGAGGCTCTACGTTACGAGAAGCTCTATGAGTAATCCATGATGCCTGAGGATCACGGATAGGGAAACACAAATACAGCTGCAGACAAAGGAAGGGATCATCGGACGGTGGTGAGAGAGAAGGCATTATTTAGCAGTGTTGTCTCACATATTGATATCTTGAAGTGGGAGCAAAAGTAAAAAGGGCACATCTAAGCAGGAATTCACCCCTTGAACTGATTGCTAGGATCCTAGCCATGTAGGTCATTCTACTATGTAAGTGTCAGAGAAGCATTCCAAGGATCAGTGACCTTTCAACCAGAATGGGAGCTATGAAGAAAGAGCTGTCACTCTCTGTTCGGCTGTAGAATTCAACAGCAGCTACAAGCTTAGTGGATGTGCTTTCAAGGCGTATCGGACCGACAAACTCAAGGTTAGCAAAGCCAAATCGGAAGAGCTCCGACAGACATTGCAGACTGTAGTTCTCTCAAACATATTACATCTGTGCCATACGGAACGGAGAGGACGAGCAAGTTGACCCTGGGGGTTATATAAGTAGCTTTCCAGTCAAGATTTCTCAAGCTTTAGAGCTCCCGAGGGCATTGAGGTAGGGTTGATTTGTCAAAAGCTGGGGCCGCGGCTCTTCATATATGGAGCATTTCTCGACTTTAAGATGGCAAGGCACCGGAATAGCTTCAATATAAAGGACGTTCTGCTTGCAAGGCCTGACTTTCTGGGTCGGATAGACCTGTCCGATCAACAAGACAATATCAATTTGTTGAGAAAGCCACCTGTCACAGTCACACATCGTCTGGAATTATGCAATGCAAGAACTCTCTTTTAGTCATTCTTGAAGTGCTCTACCAAAAAGTCAAGGAAAGTCGACCTCAATGCTGAGCCCCAACGTCATTCTGGGAAAGATCCAGAAACGTCTGTCATGTGCCATTTGTCCACGTCGTGCTCCTTGAGTGGTATCCCAGAGCAACCACAGGCATTACATGCCATGGAACTCATGTCGGCAGTTGCTTGAATGGTCACGTCAGCGCCTAGTGAGCTTTCAAAAGCTGGGTCCAGTGAGAATCACCGCGCTCTTCTCTCAAGAAAACCAGAACTCGGGGTAAAATTCCAGTTTCCCATCGTCGATAAGGCGTTCTATCCACTTCCTGATTCTACAACACTCCTGCTGAATTGGCTCGTCATCTGGCGCGAGTTCACAGGCTCGGCGAATAGCTGCAAAAGCCGTCTCAGCCATTATCGAGGCATCTAGAAGCCGGAAGATAGTAGCCACTGTACAGCACAATTGAGCCTCCTGAAAAGGCTGGGGCGACCAGCCGTCGTTCTGAAAGCACTTTCCAGTCGTGCCTGAATCGGTGTAGCAGTGTAATACGAGATTTGCGTATTCACGTATCGAAGGTGGTGCCCAGCCACGACTCCTTGCAAGATGGCCGCCTTTCTGGATGAACCGAAGGATTCCAGAGACACGGTTGGCGATCAGCTTGTACTGGAGCTCGATGATGGGGACCACGCATTCGTCGCCCCCCTGACGCCTTAGTTGAGCCCACCGCTCTGTGTATAGCTGGATAGCATCTGACTCCAGGACTCTCCGGGAAATGCCAGCGGGGAACGACTCGTTTGACAAGCAGAAAGTCATTCGCGCAATCTCACATATCCCGAGCGCCTTGGTCCACGCCACATTCGCAGCTTCGGGGTCTCCTGCTGTCTGCTGCAGGATCTCGGATCCCTCCTGCTCCAAATCACGGATGTCGTCGAAGAACTCGGGCGGGTCCTTTTTGGATCGGATGTCCTGCAGAACGGCCGCGTATAGACCAGTTTCCCAACCAGTCCCTGCGCCACGAATCGAAATGTCCTTGAAACCATGGAGTATGGTTCGATATTGTTGAAGGATCCGTGACTGTGTCTCATATATGCTCATGGATTCACGTTGTGCATAAGTTGGGGGCCAATGAAGAATGAGGGTATGCTTGGATTTCGGCCCAAAGTAGCGGTCGGCTTCGATGTCGAATTTTCCCATTAGGGCGTGGCAGAAGGGCTTGACGTCTCGTTTGTGAAGGATGAATTGCCATTCGATCACGCTCTTGTTTGCATCAGGTCTGCTGGTTGTTCGTTCTGCATTGACTGGTAATTCAAATATTAGCAAGTGCGCCACATGCTGTTTACCAAACGATGATTGTTGCAAGCACTGGCACCATAATTGTGACAAGGTAGCAACCAAGGTGCTCATTCGAAGGTGGAAGAAATATCTTGGTACATACTGCGATGATGCATGATACAGAAATTGCGGTACTTGGGATGGATCACGGTGATCCCAGACTTGTCCGTCAAGATGCGCATAGAAACTTCGCAAGACATGTGAGATTGGTGGTACACGGGTGATCCAGATACCATGACCAGCTGAGCCCGACGCACGACCACATCTAGAGCCTCCCAGTATACCTTCCTGTTTGTCAACAGGATGTTGGTATTCATGTATCGCCATCCGGATGGGTCTCGGCCTGAACTGAACAACAGTCCAGGAGGGGTGAAGGCGAAGATGGCAGCTTCGTAAATGTCATCACGGATCTCTTGGGGTAAATCCATGAAACGGAAAGGGGTGACAGCTACCACCGAACTGGGATTCATTGTGGCTTGGCGATCGGTGACGAAGTCCTGAGCCCGGAACAAACGGTTTTGGATCTGGAGAGATCCAAAGGTGGTGTGGGAAGAGAAGGATTGAGTGGATCGGACGAACGTTTTGGTCGATGCAGAAAGCTGAGGGGGTGGCAACGAGGAGAGGTAGGCGCTCAAAACCGGATCAAGACTGGCTGATATGGGCGTAAAGGGCTCCGAGTCAAGCTGTTGAGATGCGAGACGTCTTGGATGACAAAAGGCAATTGTTTAGAGGCTGGGGACTTGTACAGCCAGGCACCTGTAAATGTGATCGAGAGCGAAGAAAGGTTGTTGGCGCCTGTCGATGGCGTCGTCGATCTCCAAGATCTGGATCAAACGGAGCGGATGATGTCCTTATGGACAGTGCACAAAGCTTGGTCACTGCGGTGCAGAACGGTGGATTGTCACATTCGTGGGATGACTTACCGTTTGTTGAATGAACCAAGACCCATCCCTTGCTTTGGACTGTGACTTGAGATCTCCACAGTTTGTGTTGGCCTGCTGCTTACGTGGATGTTGTGGACAGGATAGGGCTGGCCCAAGATGGTTGCTGTTGTGACCGACAGCCGACGAAAGATAGACACAGTGATGAAGTGTCACAAAAGGTTTGCAAGCCTCAAGGGACGGAGCTTGCCAAGAGAAAGAGTTGAGGAGGAGGGGTTTAGAGGCTGCTGTGATGGGTGTGCAGAGGAGGAGTGCACAGGGATGTGTAGATGAAAAATAAACGAAGAACGTCGCCCAGTGGGATAGGAAAAGGCTAACTACGAATAAAATTGGTCTTTAATGCAACTGGCAACACTGGTTTGGGCCTTCACACGTCACTCAAATAGGTGGCCTTGTTAATTCTAGCTTGTCACCGTCAAGGTGATCACTAAAGTTACCCAATGAGCAATGTTTCTCATTCACTCTACCTGGGATGCTCTTAACTATACGGAAGAGTTGAACAGGCTTTTCCCTTGCTGGCAGACTATTCATCCACACAATTCCAAACGAAAGGGAACTAGGCATTTGAGAGAACAGGCCAGGAGCCAGAGTGCACTGCCATTGTGTCCTTCAGGCAGATAAAGGAAATCAGAGTGGGGTGCTGGACTGCGAAGTTCTCACAGATAGAAGTCCTTGGCATTTTGGCAGTGCATGGGAGTGGAAGCCAGTGACACAAACACACATGTACGGATGATTGCAAACCTTGGAAGGCCAGGATTTATGGTCTTCTGGTAATTGGTTTTTGCATAATAAGATTTCAAATAGTTTCTGCCCACGAGCTTCATCAAGCAACATGACTAGGGCCTCGTCATAGTTTCATTAAATACACAATATTTCTTTTTGGCACTGTAGCCTCATCCAAGAGCTGCCTCCCGTTTCAACACGCAGCAGCTTTCAAGGCGCCCTGAGTCCATCATGTAAAAAGGGGTGGCTCTCCCTGGCAACAGCATCGCTCTCCTCATCACGACCATCAAAATGACAAAGTGTGTCTCTTCTCAGAAACCTCAAGCAGCCACTTAGGCTTACTCGAAGTTCCAAGAGACGGCGACACGGCCGATGTCCTGGGCGTACCCGAGCTCGGCGAACACGACGGGCGTGACGTCGACGTCGCCGGTGGCACAGCCGGCGCAGCGGTCGGCGACCGTGGCCAGGACCGAGTTGCCGTTGGGCCCGTGGACGCGGATCTTCTTGCCGCAGACCGGGCTCTCGTTGGGGTTTGCGTAGACGCCGTAGTCAGCTTCTGAGAGGGCGGCGATGTGCTGTAGAGAAAGACTCGGGTTAGCCGCTGTGGACCATACAGGTTTCTGAGGTGAGACCTCGAGGCAGGCAATGGACTTGTCAATTCTGTCGGAGGGGCTGCTGGGAGGACCGGTGGGTGACATACGTCAGTGAGGGTGTTCATGGTGCCGCAGGCGGTGAAGGCCGAGCCGATGCCCTCGGTGTACCATGTCAGGCTGCCGCTGGTGATGCCACGGGAGCTCTGGGGCGCGGGGGCGGCAGTGGCCAGGGCGGCGAGGGCCGTAAGGGCAGTGGCGATGCGGAACATTGTGAATGGTGGTTGTTTGAGATTATATTAGATCGGGGATTTTTCTTCTTCGTCTTTCAAACGAGAGTGTCGGCGGCCCAGTTTCGGGGATTAAAGAGTGACTTAATCAAAAATGAAGGTAGTTTAGTTGGTGATAGTGAGGGTTGGGGCGAATGAGTTGCTTGAAGGAGAGAAAGAGACGAGAGCTTCATTTGGATAAGAGGCCGCATTTATTTATTGTCGTCCAAAGACCGCAACAAGACCTGTCAACACCTCAAAGAGGATGCCCAGATCGGCGCGGGAGATTGGTTGGCCCATCGCTCCTCCCGTTCCGCTGGCTGATCGATATCTTGGTCGGTACTCCGTCGAGTCTGTTCAAAAGGGGCGACGATCACTCCGCCCTATTCGAGTATGCTCCGATACCCATCACTCGACCCATATGTAGGCTATTCCGGGCTTTGTAAAATACCACGAGCTCTCGGGGCATCGCAGGTTCACAGCAAGGATGTTGAGTCGTCAGGCGTGTGTCGCGATGTAAAATACGTATTATTCATCTCAGATGGGGCCTCCACAGGGCTGATGAGAACCCACTTCAGCACGACCACTGGGGCCAGTTGCTTATGCAGATCGACGCTTTCAAGGGGCAGGGTCAGGGACTACACGACATGTCATACGTAGACGCCGCGTCTGTACGATACTTCAGTCGCACAGCCCGCTCTCAGATTGTGCTCACCCACCCCCAGACCGCCCTGCGTACCCACTTACAGAAGCCACTTTGGAGTCTGTCAGCGACATACAGATGTGCTGGCAAGTTGCTCAAATCGATTGATCTAGGACTTGAGTTGCATTCGTATTGATGGGAACGAGTGACTAGTGCTGGAAGATCACATTGGCACGTCTGATCTGGGGGCTTTGACCCAGTGTCAGGATTGATGGGATGGACACCACGTGAAGGCTAAGGCAACGCTTGCGGAGGCAGCAACCAAGAAACTGAGGAAAAAAGCCATCTTCCAGGACAATCCTCATTACAGAAATTGTGAGCGATCTAACACTCAAAGGGGAACGAAGTCAAACCCAGGATTGGACTTCTCTCACCCTTCGATTACACCACTGTTCGGGCGTTTGGCCTGTGTGAATCCAGCAGCTTGATGGGCTCGTCATCTCTATTCTGTATTTGCGTCCGAAAAGTTTGCATCCAATCCGGGCCGTTCACTCATGACCATGTCTCAAATCCTTTGATCTTTGGCCTTAACAGCTATTCTGGAGGAGTTGGAAGAAAGACGGCAGGCGAAAGGTGCTAAGCTCCTCGGACTCAAGAGCAACGGAGAAGTAAGTTTGCAAGCCCTTTCGCTCTTTTCGAATCGAATGAGACCTGTGACTTCATGATCAGTAATCTTGATGCAGTGTGGTTCATATAGTTATGGACCCACATGATCTCATCAATGGCCTTGGTGTAGTTGTCACTGAAGTCTGGTTGTGATTTTGTGCGGAGGTACTCCTTCAGGCCCGCCGCGGCCTCTCCATCCCCCTTTTCGTAGTGACGCACCGGAAGATACACCTTGACAGTGAGGCCACTTTTGCCTCCCCCAAGTGAGAAGTATTATAGCATGCCCCCAGTCCGATGGCCTACTTTTGGCAGTTGAGGCTGAGTGTCTCCTCCGCTTGGAAGCCCGAAAACCAAATTCCATAGCCTCGTGAACTCCTCTAAGGCGACTCCTCGGCGTACTCGCACAGCAGGATCCACTAGGCAGAGTGTCTCGATCACAGACTCGAGTGAGGTGAATTGGCTTCGCATGTATATCTTGATGCGAGATTTCTCGGCTGCGACGATTTCAGGTGTTAGACTTCGACCCTGATGGTTTGACCTCAAAAACTCAAGGAGCTTCTTGTGTCCGTTCCTTACGCCCTGCGGTAGACCGGGAAGGCTTGCGATCCCATCATTGATGACCGACATTGTCGAGCGCCCAATGGCAGTAGCCTTGAACACGGGCATGTAATAAGCTTTTAACATCGGCCCGGCCTCGTTCAACTCGAGTGCAAGAAACGCTCGAGACTTGTGGGACGGGTTCAGCTCAGTGACTCCAGGGAGGTGTTTCTCGGTAGACCGAGAAAATACGTGTGGTTCGTCGAAGTGGATCAGTGATTTCCACATGTAGTTGAACCATAACAGATCACATCCCTCAACTTGACGATGTTAATTCGTCATGAATCGAAGTGCGGCGTACTGGTTGCTTGGATCCAACGCAGTTCCAGCTGCCTCTCCTATGGGCTCAAATGAGAACCGTATCACAGGAAATTCCGTGCCGCGGTTCCATGCCCAGATAAATTCGACAGGAGAATGATGATCGGTCATGAAGCTCTGCCAATGCTTCACCGTGCCATCGGGGCGTGGCCCATCACCGAGCTCCGGAACAATGACCTCGAAGTAGAATCTGAGATGTTTAATTTGCTCTTCGAACAAGTAGCCAGCCCTCTCGAGAAGAATGGCGAAAGGTATGCCGGTCGACTACCACCAGAAAACGTGGTTGAAGTTTCGGTCGGAATTTGTTCCACAGAGCTCTTCATCTACCATGACCCAGGCCTTGGGCAGACATTGTGGCTATGTGGAGGCTTCGAAAAGTTGGTCCTGATTTCTTTCAAAACATTACCGTCGATTTGGCCCGGAAGGATGCCGCCTGTTGTCGCATTTCTCCGGAAAGCGCGTTGCATTTCCGATATTTCGCCCCAATCCATTTTTTTTTTTTTCCAAACTAGAAGTCGACAGAGATTAGACCCTGAACACATCGTGGGATGGTGGAAAGCAAAACATGATAAGTGTATGTTATGCGGAAGTCGAACGGCAACCTCCTTTTGCAGTAGCGATTTCGTTCGCCCGGACGATTGGCCAAATCGGGTGCATCTACTGACATGGCCCTAGGCTCTACGTCAGCTCCAGCCCAGGAGATGGGTAGGCCGCAGCTTGGGCTTTCGAGCCATCTCTCCGGCCGGAAGACATCACTGTCTTCACCAAAGACAGCTGTGTCTTGGTTGAACACCCAGGCATTCACGCCGATCGTTGTTCCCGCTGGGATGAACTTCCCATGGAGGACCACTCCACCTTTTGGTACATAACGCTCGAACTTGAGACCTGTGCTGGGGTGGATCCGAAGCGCCTCTATGATGACGGCATTTCTGCATGTAGAGGTCGGGAACCGTCAGTATGGCTCATACACCATAGTAGTATTTGTAAATGCGATGTGACCTACACGTATTGGAGGTCGGAAGTTTCCCTTTGCTGCGTGATTTGAGAGAGTTTCCCGGCCAACTCGGCGTCTCGAATCTCGGCCTGGACCTTCGCCCGCATTGCAGGATTCTTTGCCAGGTAGTAAAGCACTGCGCGGAGGGAGATCGCCAGAACGTCGTGAGTGGTGACACTGCCTCTTGGCATCAGCCTCATATTTAAAAAGAGCCGAAGGGTATCACTCATACGTACAGGCTGATGTAAGAAGCCGCTATCATGTCACGTCTTCTAAAACCGGAGGGTCGTTCATCGTGTAAGATTAAGAAAGAGTCCAGTAAGTAGTTGGTGTTTCTCGGAAGCTTTTCACGTTGTTCTATGATATCCAGCGCGAACTAACAAGTGCTTCCCAGCGGACATCGTCCAGGTGGTTTGTAGAAGGCACCCACCTTGTGTAACGGGCTCGGTCCGCTCTTTTTGGTTAACGATACGAGGCCACTCCATATCTTTTCGAGTTGTGGCACCTGACCCATTTGCAGTTACCTTCTGCCAGCACCCAGCATATGAAGCTCACAACGCTTGACTCATACCAGGCCGAAGTAGGTCATGTTGTGGTGATTCTGTGCACAAAGTCCACCCACGTCCGTGCCAGTAGCCAGAAACCCAAGCTTCTTCGAGAATATGACCTCACCGATCGTGTCGAAAGCCCAGTATTGCATCCACGCACTTGCATCAATACGGACCCACCCAGACTCTTTTGTTATGGAATTGAGCCTCTCAAGCAGCAACTCGATAGTGCTGTCGATGTGACTCTCGCAACTTTGTATACCACTCTGTGAAAATAGGGCACCGACATGCCGTTTCACTGTTGCGTGCAGGGCTTTGTCTTGAGTGGAAAACAGGTTATGCAAGTCCTCTCCGTCCATCTTTGGCTGCAAGATACTATACGTTTCTGCCTATTTGGCCGCTATTCTATTGACTCATTATCGCCAGATCGTGTGCCGGATTGATTCTGACCTTCTGGAAACCGGTGCCCGCCCGGTAAATCGCGTGAACGGATTCGCGGCTTGACGCTGAGATGTAATTGGGCCCCAGACGTAGGAGAGGCCCATACTTTCTGTGCAGCCGCAGGCTGCGGTCGGACACGTCCACGAGCCATGCAAGTCGGAAGCGGTATAGGTTTGACAAGCTGGCCAGAAACGGTCCAGGCACACCGATCAGCCCAGATTGATATCTCTGCAACAAAAGGTGCAGAACAACGGTAGCAGTGAGAAAAAGAAGAATGGCTGTGGCATCAAACATGCTGATGATCTCGCTGTGATACTCTGGAATCGTTGGACCGAGCAGCACATACAGACGAAGTTGGTGCAGTGTGCAGTACAGAACTCTCTGAGTTGACAATGGCACCAAGGAGGCATTGATACTGTCGCATCGCGCTCGGTGGGCTTTGATGCAAGCCAAATGCATAAGCAATGACCAAGTACAGTAGTGTACCTCAACCCCTGCAGCAGGCACAAATAAAGTTTGGGATCTCCGAGGAGGCACGTGTATAGAGCCGCGCGACAGCCTTGCCGGCAAGGATATGAACATGTGGGGCAATGCACGTAAATGATAGCGCAATCAAAAGCCTGTGTTTTCCCGATGATTTTCCATTGTGAACTTTATTTTAAAGTCTACACCATATACTTTCGATCTACTGTTACGTTACAGCTACGGCAAATGGATGGATTGAGGCCTTGATGGATCATGGACTTGGTTGCACAGACCTGTTTGGGCAAGTTGGTCCGATGGCAACGCCACTCCTAAATAAAGTTTGATTGCGAGGCACATGGTCTGCGCGATCCGGATACATCTGTGCCACGCCGGCCAATGGTGATAAGAACGGCGCCGAGATCGACTCCACCCACCCGTTCCACAAGAACAACCACAAGGTGCATGTCATCGGCCAGGGCCGTGGCGGGTTTCCGTGGAAGGACGTCGAGGAGGCGGTCGCGGGCGGTGGGGCCGAGTACTTCAACCTAGTTAACCCGCCGTACAGGGACGGCTTCACCCTTTATGGTGGGGAGGGTGATTTCGTGGTCGTCCGCTATGAGATCACCTTCCCCGCAGTGAGCATGTTGCACTGCCATATGATCCATCATTTTGCGGTAAGCATCCACTTTCCCTCTCCTGTCAGACTCGGTACAAACTGACTTGAGGCACAGAGCGGGCAGCAGGTCATACTGCTAGAAGCCATGGAGGTCATGCCGCCAGTTCCTCAGGAGCTGAAAGACAAACCACATGTTGACTTCCAATTCCCGCCGCGTTATGGTCCTTTGGATTGAGGGCAATGATGCAACGTCACTGTGGATGAAGAGTATAACTGTCGAGACCGCCATCTCCTCGACAAGGAGGTTCGGTTACGACGAGGCCAGCGAGATTTCATTGGGCCTCATGATTTGGGCTAAGGCAAAAATCAGTAAAGAATTGTTTGATTCTTCGGTTTTGAATCCGGTTCCTATCTCGTTGTTCATGCTGGACGTACATGGGCTGGCCCAGTTGGTTCGAGCTTAGCGAAGCTGTTCGGTATATCGGACCCGACTTTACGATAAGTCGTTAATTTTTACTCGCTCAGTACTCAGTAGTGGTGTGGAATTCCTAGCGAATCAGTCTCTTAGTCTTGGCTGAGACTCGCTGCACAGATGTTTGCTTATATTGAGTAAAAGTGTCCGACGGCGAGACTCATGAAATGGCCAACTTATTAACGCGTGTCAACAACCTCAAAGCATCTTGCCTTTCAATACCCACCCTCCGTACAAGGCCGCTCCAGCCCCCGTGAAAATACCGACCCAGACTCCTAGTACCTTGAGCAGCACTTTGGTAGCGTAGCTGTCCGCCGCGGCGCCGTCATTCGCTCGCGGGAAAGGCTCTCTGAAATAATAGCGTTGGATGCTTAGTCTATTAGGCTAGCTAACGTCTATTCTACGGGAGGGAAGGCCCCTATTTATAGTTATTATCCTCCATATAGTGGCAAACGTATGGGGAAAAGGATATCCCGTATTAATAATAGCCTAGATATCTAGAATATTCCAACAGCCCCCCTTAAACTAATTCCCTTTTATTTATTTTATTTTATATATAAGGGATTTAGTTTATAAAAAAGGAATATTTAGTTATATAGTAAGAAAACCTTATAAAAGGGGAAAAACTTACTTATTAAGTATTTATATATTTAAGCAAAAAACCTAAAAATTTACTATTACTTAAACTTAAACTTATAGCTAATAGGGTATTATATATTAAATTATAATTTTATATAGGATTTATTAGTTATTTTATAATAATTATAATATATTACGGCATTTTTATATATTAAAGTTATACATTATTTTATTTATATTATATATATTATGAAAATACGTTTTATGTATAGAATTAAATATATATAAATATAGTATAGGTATATTATGATTATGTATATATATGGTATATATAGGCTATGTAAGTAATGCTTATTTTTTAGGAAAAACCTTTATTATTTTAATTATTTTTTTAAGGGAAAACCTTTAATATTTAGGGTAATATTATATATATATATAATTAAGTTTGCTTAATTTATTTATATATTTTATAAATAAAGGAAAAAAATCTTAACTTTAGTTATAAAAAGTAAATACCTTAATTTATTTTATGTATATTATAATATAAGTAGAAAATCTTTTTATTTTTTAGCTTAATATTTTTATATTATTTTTTTATTAAATTATACTTTTCTTTAAATTCTTTATAATATAGTTTATTTATTAATTTTATAAGCTAATTTATTAAATTTTGCTTAAAATTTATATATTTTAATATTACCTTATTATTTTTTATTGCTTTTCTTATATAATAATATATAATATTTATATATTTAGTTTTTTTATAAAATAAGGTATTTTTAGCTAATTTCTTAGCCTTATTATTATTTATATATATAATAAGGGGCTTAAGATTAAAGTTAATATTTAAATTATTATTAAAATATTTAAGTAAATTATATAAATATTTAGCTTTTTTTATAGCTTTTCTTAAAGCTATATATTTTACTTTTATAAAGGAAAGTGCTAATGTTTTTTATAGCTAAGAATTTTAGCTTATAGGATTTATTTTATTATTATTATTATTATTAATATTATATAGGCTAAATATATAACTAAAGGTGCTCTTTTTAGTAAATATATCATTACCTTAGTTTAAATTTATATAATTTATTAATTATAAATTATTTTCAAAGTAATTCTATACTTTAAATATATATAGGAATTTATATATATATCCTTATATTTTATTTAATTCTTTTATATGCTTTAGTCCTGGGTTTGCTATATATCTAGCTAATTTGTTTATAAAATAAGTTAAATTTAGCCTTATTTTTAAATTAGCATATAATATAAACTTTATTTATTGCTAATATAATTTTATAATATTTTTATTAGCTTAGTTAATGTATTTTTTTAATTTTGTATTAGGGGTATATAGTATAAGTTAAGGGATTATTTCCTTTTTCTTAACCTTTTCTTTTATATTAAATCTTTTTAATATTTTATTTATATATTTATTTTAATTTATAATTATTTATTTATCTTTTCTATTTATATATATATTACTTTTAAGGAAATCTATTAAATTTCCTTAAACATCTAGTGTTATATTCTTATATAATTTATTAATTATTAAATTTATATTATTATTATTAAATCTTATAATAATAATATTATTTATATAATATATAAATATAATTTATTTATTAAAGTATATAAATACCTCTTTATTATATAAGTAAATAATAAATCTTAACTTAGTTAATATATTTTTTAAGTATTTATATTAAAGCATAGGTAATTATTTTAATCCGTATAAAGCTTTATTTAGTTTTGCAACTTTATTTTTATATTTTAGTTTATTATATAACGGGTTTGTGTATTGCAAATGCTAAGCATTACCGTAGCTAAGCTTGGTTGGATAAAGAGAGAGAAAGAAAAAATATAAAAGCTAAATTGCTTAAATTTTAGCAATAAAATGCCGGAAACTTTAGGTTTTAGGCTAAAACTTAAAACCCTTACCTTAATAAGTTATATTTATTATATTACCCCTTTTTACTTTCTTTTTAAATTCTACTTATTATATTTAAAGGCGGTAGAAAATTGTTTGCAAGTAATAAAGATTTATTTATAAGGCCCTCCTTGTAATTATAAATACTTACTTAAATTATTACTTTCCGCTTCTTTCCTTCCTTTTATTAATAATATATATATTAAATAAGTACCCTAAACTTAAAATTATAATTTTTAATTCTTAATGATTAATATTTAAAGCTTTTTAATTAAAAATTAATAATTCCTAAAATTAAAAACTTATTATTTATTATACTATTTATTATTATTTACTTAGCTAAGTTTAAGAATTAAATAAATTTTTAATTTTTATAATTTTTAGCGGTTTTTATTTAATTTCTTAATATTTTCTTAAGGAGATTAATATAAATATTTCCCTTATTTTTTTAATAATTATAATTATAATCTTATTATTAATAAAAATAGTTAAATTTTAAAGGCTTATATTAATTATTAAAAGGAAAAATGTATAATTTTTATAGAAAAAGTATTAAAATTTAATTAATTATTTTTAATTACTTATAATATAATTCCTTTACTTATTCTTATTTATTAAGAAAAGCTTAAGAATAATAGCGTTAATATTATTAAAATTTATATAATAAGATTTTTATTAATTTTTAAGGAAAGATTATTAAAATCCGCTAACTTTTTTAAGATGCTTATTTTAAAAAGCTTTGCATTATATATTGCGTTATATTAAAGTATAAAGAAATAAGTATTTTTTTATTATAAGTTATTTTTCCTTTAATTTTTAAATATTTTTTAATAAAAATAGTAATTATACCTTTACTTGCTTTATTAACTTAATAGTTTAATATATTAATGCTAATAATTAAAACTTTTTTAATGTATTTTATTAAGTTTTTATAAGTTTTTATTTAAATTTTAAATTTAAATAGCTTAAGTTTTAATTAATTAATTTATAAATTAATAATGCTTTTAAATTAAGAAAAAAGGATTTTTTACCTTTATATTTTGCTTTATTATTATTTTAAATATTATAAAGATATTCTTAAAAATTTATTATTTTCCTTTGGAATTTAATATTTTTATATTATTATTATAAATTATTCCTTTAAGAGCTGCCTTTTACATCTTTTTTAATTAATTAATAAGGCTTATACTTTATTTTTTATAAGTATATACTTTATTTCTTTATACTTTATTTTCTTTAAAGGTAAAGAATGTATAAAAGTAAATCCTATTTTCTTGCCGTTATAGGTTTTATCTTTTTTATTTAAATGCCGTAAAATTATCCCTAAATTTTAGATTTTTCTTAACCTTATTTAAAATTTTGCTTTTTTTTATTTTTTCCTTCTTTCTTTTTTATTCTCCCTAGCATTAAATACATTCTTAATATTCCTTAAAAAGGGGTATACTTAAATATATTATTTTCCTCTTTATTTCCTTATATTTTTTTTAATTGCTTATATTATAATTTACCCTTTTTTTATTAATAATTATATATTATATAATTAGCTAAGAGCTTATTAGCTCTTTGCAGGTTTTTATATTTATATTTAAAGTAATTTTAAGTTATAATATTTATTAAGTTTTTTAAGTTAGTTTAATTAGGTTTTTTATACCTTACTTATTTTATTAAGCCTTTTCTTTTAAATTCCCTATTTATTTGCTTTAAGTATATATAAAGCAACTTCTTTATTAAATACTTTTAATATTTATTAATTATTATTATAAATAGCTAGGAATTTTTTTAAATTTAATTAAGTAATAGGTTTAAAGCAATATATTATAGTAACTTTATATAAATCTTAGCATATCTTTTATTTAAAAATTTAAATATTTTTATAGTTAAAGAGGATATTATGCATTTTATATAAAATTTTATATGCTTTTAATTAAGTTTCTTTTTATATTAAAGAAACTTATAATTTTTTAAATTTACTTAAATTAAGTTTTTTATTTAAAATTATATTACTAGGGTTTTTTTATAATTTGCTATAAATTCTTAAGTTTATATGGTAAATATTATAATAGCTTAATATAAGTTTAAGATTTGCTAAAGCTTTTTTTAAAATGCTTTTACTTTTTCTTTTAATAAGGTAGTTAAATAAGTTTTTTATTTAATAGTTTTAAATATTAAAATAATGGAATTAAGTTAATAATTATAAATTATAAAGAAGGTTAATATTCTTATATTAATATTTATTTAATTATTTAATATT